ATATATATATATATATATAGTTTATGCAAACTTAGGTAATCCATATGGGTAGACCCGAGGAGGATGATATCCAGAGAGCTCAATGTAAAATTCAGAGCAGATATGTTGAATAAAAAACAGACCACGTTAAGATTCCATGTAATAAGCTATTACATGGAATCTTAACAGGTTCTGGTTTGTTTTTATTAATATATATATATATATATATATATATATATATATATATATTCCATAACATTATGATTTTATTGCTCAGCTGGGGTAGAAGTTTTCCAGGTTGAATTGGATATCAATTATTACAACGTTTTATTTCAAACTGTGTTTCTATGCGTGTGAGATGTATTAAACCTTAAATGGCGCCAGGATATGTAAGCCACTCATGCATAACTCAAGACATATGCATAACTCAAGACATATGCATAGCCATTGTATTGGTGCGTGCAGAGTCACACGCAAACAATGTATGACGGACAGAGAATCAATTCTTCTTTTATTATTATAGGTTGTATTTTTCTTCTTGCAGGGCTGAGTGATCCCAACGCAATAAAAATCTTGGCGATTGTCCCGCCGTATAGTAGCAAATAACTTAGCCAAAATTTGAACAGAACTGCCTGATTTCATTTTTCTATGCTGTATGCTCACTGTTTTTAGATGTGACTCGTGAGGAACCTCATGTACTCCCTTCATTATGGGAACTGCCGATTTTATTTGCATTATATCTTTACTCGTTGAATGTTCACCAGTTATATCTGATAGTAAGTGTAATCAGTACTGCAGCATTGTTCGTTCTGAATTTAGTAATGCTTTTGTTTTTAAATAGATGCCATCAGTTCTCTATGGATTTCGAATTCTTGTAAGAATTCAACAAGTCTCCGAAAAGTATCAATAATAATGATAACAATTACCGCCTTTTTATTTCAGGCTAAGATATTTTTTCAACTCTTTTCAATTTCAGGGTTACTGAATGAGATTGTATGGACGTTACGAAGTATGTTCAGATTATAACTATATGTTGACTAGATAACGGTTGACCTTAGCCTCGTTATCGGTCAAGCATCCTCTCGGGGTCTGTTTCCCAAAGTAGTCGTTCTCGGAAAGAAACTGCAAAAATATAACATCCATAGAAATTCCCCTATCGCATCGTTAAATATTTGAGCTTAACAACTTTTAAAAAATATTGCAATAACAGTAACAAGTAAGTATGTTTGTCGTTATTTTTTAAGAAGTAAGGGAGTACAAATAAAATCATTTGAAATTGGCAATATTTACCATTTCAATAAAACAGACGTTAAACACTTCTATCTTTCTTTTATTTTCTCACTGAAACTAAGTAGTGTCTGTGATATGTCTTCTCTTTTAACAGGATCAAAACAGAATAATTCATTATTTATGAGGTATTGAGGTCGTAACGGCCGTGCTAAGAGAGGGAGGGATGCACAAGCAAAATTACGATAAGATATTACTGATAATGATAATAAAACGTAATGGTTGTTGATATTTACTTAGTATTTTAGTCAGGCACAAGGCCACAACTATCAGAAACCCGGTAAAAGTTCTAAATCACTATAGTAGCAATTGTCTTGAAGACTAGCTGTTCTGATTCTGAATCTGTACTCAGAATTATCTTATTACAAAAGGCTTTTGAGATATGTACAGCATGACATTAATTCATGTTATCTGTATTGTTATGTTAGTAAGATATACCATCAAATAATAATAATATCAGTAATAATTACAGTTGTGGTTGGGGCACTGGATTTGATTGGAAAAACTTCTGATGGTCTCAATGGATTTCTGACAGCACGTGTTGGGGAAATACAAAGAAATGGTTGTTCAAGCACAGCGTTTTATCTATGTAAAATGTCTATGCGTTTGTAGATTTTCTTTTTATAAATGGAATTGTTCTGGATGAAAGTTTAGTAAAAAAGAAAAAAAAGAGCAAACGTAAAGACATGAATTTGGCTGTTACTAAAGAAGGATTCCCTCGCTTTCAAGACACGGGAAGAATCTATGGATATATAGTTTTTACCGGTGATCAATTAGATCGTAAAAGAATAGTCAAGAGTACCTCAGGTAAAAAATTCAGCATTGAGTGAAATGCAAGTAAAAAAAAAAAAAAAATAAATAAAAAAATAAAAAAGAGACAAACAAATAAGACAAAACAAGTAAATGAAAGAAAACTAAAAAAACAGTCCGTAACAAAAAAAAAAAAGATAAAGAAAAAAAAGCAAGCAAGCAAAAAAATGCAAAAATTTAAAAAGGACGATTCTTACTTTGAATCACTTGGTCATGTCACGTGTCCTGTAACCCATTAGAGTCATAGGGTTACCATATGTGCTGCAACCATAACATCAGTTGTGTGTCTAACGCAAGATAATCTGACGGAACCCATCCCTCTTCAGACCGATATTTGACTTCTGAGGTTTCTAGCCAATGGCTACGCTGCTATTAATATCTAGCGGGGTAGTAGGGAAAAATGGATTTCCACGAGTATTCGTGTGAAAGCGAATGCAATCAATTCGGCTGGAACTTAAGCACGACACGTCAATCCCAATTTTTCAGTGCCGATAACCCTTACGCGACATATCCATCTTGAATCGGTGGGTATGTAAAATGAATAATCCAACTGTTGCCTTTAAAGAAGCGAAACATAAACATGATAAGGACAAGTTCATTGAATAAACCACGAGTCCCGTAACCTATTATGGTCGTAGGAGAAACATATGTACTGCTGTGATAGCAACAGCGATGTGTCTTGGACAAGAAAGGCTGACGGAGCCAAAACCTCTCTGGCTGGTTTGAATTTAGGATTATCCTTCTCATAGACTGGTGGTCGACCAAAGATATATGTCCCGGTCTGTCCTATTATAAGTCCCGGTTTGGTTTGGTTTGTTTTACGGCATATCAACCTCAATGGGTTATTTAATTAATGCCGACAAGATTTTTATTGCTTGTAATATTTTTTTTCCAAAGATGTATTGCTGGCAATATTTTTTCTTCAAAAATTTATTGCTGGTTAATAATTTTTACAAAGTATTTCTGGTATTCAAGCCTATTTTTACACTTTCATAGTACTTTGACCCCAGTTTTGGGGTTAACTATTTGCCCATAGCTGGGATCCTAACAAGTTTAACCACTCCGTGTCAGAGTGGACCTGGGAACACCAGCAATTCAGAGGTGGTTCCAAATTCCACAAAACCTGATCAAATACCTTGCTGTTGGATGTAGTTTATCGTCTTACCCAGTACGGTGCTAAAGGTTCTGGTCTTACCTATAGGCAGTGGGGATAAAAATGGATTCATACCTTTCCGAGTGTATTTGCGTGTAAGTAAATGTAACGAATACACCTGAAATTCGAACTCGACTCTTCGATTTCTCGTTCCGAGCCTCTATGCATTGCATCACCGCTGAATAAAGTCGGCTCTAATTAAGTTATGGTAAGATGCTGACAGTCGGGGAAAATAAGTTAATTTCTTTTTTCTTCCAACCAAAAAAAAAAAAAAAATGATATATCGATCGCTTCATCTAATAGCCTGTACAATTTCGAACCCCTAAAATGCTTCAATTAATATTATTGATAGTCAGAGAAGTAAGTCAATGTTAGAGGCAGTTTATAAGCTTAGGTTATTTTGGGAGAGACAAGGTTAATATTAAAATTTTTAACAGTTTCCATCTGATTTTGTTCCTGTCATGATGTAGACAGAGTTCAGGTTTTAAAATCTTTTGGATTCATCAGTATAAAAAAATGAAGACTGCCACAAGGTTATATTTACAGAGCACATGTTGAAAAATGAAAGATCAACATTGCATCAACGACACTGTAGGGGTAACGTTTTCACTCTCATGTCACTTTTTACTGGAACAGATAACCAAACAAAAGACTAAATCTCTGTTGGTCTTAATCTATGACAATGCTATTGAGCTGAGCTGTATCATTTGTCTAAAATTGATTGTCTTGGTTTTTCTGTGTGCGGTGTTCGTTCAGAATGTGGGTAAGAGATGACGGATCTCCACAACTTCCTATTCTTCTTAGCTCTTAGCATCTCGAGAAATTCACCTGACATCTACTCTCTTCCTTCTCATTTTGTTTTCCTCATCTTCTTCTATGTGCCGTGTCCCTTCAGAACATAGACGATCATGGCTCTCCACTATTTCCTTTCTTTTTAGTTATTAATAAATGTTATATGTTTGTTATTTCTCCTAAACCCTGTTTCGCCACTTAAGCTCACTAAGTATGTTATGCGTTGTTTTCCTCTGTTCCTCTTGCCTTCAATCTGTCCTGTGATTATCAGATTTTCCAAGCCCTCTTTCCTCATTATTTGCCCCAAAATTTCAACTGTCTCTTCCTGATGTTAAGTATAAGTTTCCTTATTATTTCCATTTCCACTAAAACTTCGTCGTTGATCACATGGTATCCTCAACATCCTTCTGTAGAGTCACATTTTTGCCGTCTCAAGTTTCCACTTCATGCATTAGGAGATGGTCCAGCATCCACTGCCATACAGGAGGACTGATATTACTTAACATTTCGGTACGCTTTGTTTCTAACAAAATTTTTCTGTTTCTTAATACTTTGCTTAGCTTTTGGAAGGCATATTTCGCTATCCCAATACACCTTTAGGTCTCAGTGTCACACTTTTGCAGTTCCCAGCTATTTAAATCTTTGTACTTGTTTGATTTTGGTATCTCCACTTTGTAATCCAGAAAATGAACAGTTATAGGAAAAAACGCGTAATAACTGGACATTGAAAGAGTGGAAAAATGTCATGTGGACAGACGAGTTCAAATTTGAACTTTTTGGTAGTAAGAGGAGAATTTATGCGAGACGAAGACCAGGAGAATGATTGAAGGATGAATGTTTGGTTCCAGCAATTAAGCATGGTGGTGGGTCTGTGGGTCTTTTGGGGGAATGAGGGCTGGAGATCTGATTCAGGTCAAGAGAATCATGAAAAAAAGGACAATATCATTCTATTTTGCAAAGACATGCTATACCATCTGGTTTATATATAATTGGGAATAGAGATAGATAGATAGATAGATAGATAGATAGATAATTTGAAATGAACAGACTGCGAGAATTTTTATATATATATATATATATATATATATATATATATATACAAAAAAGAGAGAGATATGAACAAAATATGACAAATATACTAAGAGATAGACAAACAGGCAGACAGGCAGAAAATAGATAGATAAATATGAACAGACTCTAGTATATATATATATATCTATATATATATATATATATATATATATATATATATATATATATATATATATATATATAGAGAGAGAGAGAGAGAGAGATTTTATGCAAAACTAGGTAATCCGTATGGGTAGACCCAAAGAGGGTGATATCCGGAGAGCTCAATGTAAATTCAGAGCAAATATGTTTGAATAAAAACAGACCACTTTTAAGGTGAAATAATTTATTACATGGAATCTTAAAGTGGTCTTTTTTTATTCAAATATATATATATATATATATATATATATATATATATATATATATATATAATTATTTATTTAAAATTATGATTCCTTCGCTACATAAGAGTTCTCATGTTTCAAAACAAGAGCTGAAAACTTCAATATAATTATTAGAATTAAATTGAATTAAAGTACCAAGCTCTGTTCCATCTTCAAGCGAAATGTTTTTGTATCGAGCACTGTTTTTTAAAAATAAAAACAAAAATAATAAAGAATTTCGGATTGTTTACCTAACGAGTTCTTTCCTATTTTCTATATATTTTCACACACACACACACACACACACACACACATATATATATATATATATATATATATATAGATAGATAGATAGATAGATAGATAGATAGATAGATAGATATGAACAGAATATGACAAACAGGCAGACAGAGAGATAGACAGACAGACAGAAAGTAGATAGATAGATAGATTGATGGATTACTGGATAAATAAATAATGAACCAAAATCGAAGAGAGAAAGAAAAAAGGAAACTGAGAACACAGAGAAAAAATGAATAGAAAATGAATGGAAATATATGAAAAAAACAATCAAACAATACATAGAAAAGAAAAAAATAATCGTATACAAAGAATCGTAAACCTGAAGAAAATAAAATTAGCAAATAGTAAAAAAAAAAAAAAAAAAAAGAACGAAACCTCAGTACATATATTTGAAGGACATGTTGATTGTACATATAAAGATGGCGGACATATGTTGTTTGGTTAGGAAAAGAGAACTCATAAGGTGAATTAATTTTCTGAGAGTTTGTTTGCATAGAGCAACGACTAGTTCCGGGTTGGGTACAGTGATTGGATAAAACGTCTGGTCGTGACAGCCCCGGATGAAGCGACGGAAGATAAGACATCGAAGGAAGATGGAATCAGAACAGTTTGGAATGAGTAAAAATAACTGGACAAGAGGGGAAGTCAATGGATTAAAGAGAGAGGGAAATAGGAACAGTAAGAATGGTATTACAAAGGAGAAAAGAGAGAGAGAGAGAGAGAGAGAGAGAGAGAGAGAGAGAGAGAGAGAGAGAGAGAGAGGGGGGGCGAAGATGAGGAATAAAAAAGAATAATGATGGTAAAATAGAAAAGAAGGAAAACTGAAAGGGGGATATGCAAAGAAAGAAGGTGAAAGCTGGACAAACAGATAGACAGATATGAACAACCTAGAGAGAGAGAGAGAGAAAGAGAGAGAGAGAGAGCGAGATAGATAGATAGATAGATAGATAGGAACAACCTGAGATAGATAAATAGATAAATAGATAGATAGATATGAACAACCTGACATATATTGATAGATAGATAGATAGATAGATAAAGAGAGGGAGAAAGAGAAAGAGAGATATGAAAAACCTGAGATAGAAAATGAAACTGTGATAGATAATGAAAACACTGAGATAGATCGATCTATCTCAGTGTTTTCAGATCGATAGATAGATAGATCTGACAGACTGAGATAGACAGATACGTAGATATGAGCAACCTGAGATAGACCAAACTGCGATAGATAAATCGATCGATAATGAAGAAACTGTGATAGACAGATAATGAAGAAACTGAGACAGATAGTTACAGATACATACATAGGTAGGTCTGTAGATAGGTAAGTAATGAAGAAACTGAGATAGATAGATAGATAGATAGATAGATAGATAGATAGATAGATAGATAGATGCATACATACATACATAGGCAGGTAGATAGATAAATAATGAAGAAACTAAGAAATATAGAAAGATAGACAGACAGATAAACAGAGAAGGAATGTAAGAGACAGAACGATTTTTAAAGAAAATGAGAAGTGAACACTGAAATGCAACTATATAAAATAAATATTAGAAATAATCTTTTAATCACACTGGAAACTTCGGTTCTCGGTTGTTCACCGATGTTTAGCACTGTAGAGCCTGGACGTTACTTAGCGTGGGTTTTGTAAGCTTTAGAGGAGTAATGACCGGAAAAAAATACACCACGCCCTTTGGAATGTGGGAAAGTTGTTTCGGATGCCAATAGACATTCTTTCTGGAGAAATGTCACAGTCAACGGTAAAGAGTTGCTGTCTCTAAAGGTTTCAAGCGCTAATTGTATTAAGTTCTCTTGGAATTAACAGGAATCTAACCATTCACCATAAAGTTCGTTCGCTCAGGCTAAAGAATGTTTACAGGTGCAATAAATTTGTATATAATGGATTTTATTTTATGCCCTTAGTACATTTTTATTGTGCATTTGAGTTTAATTTTGATACTAAAACATAACAAGCAATAAGTAAATAGACAATAACTTACTATAATTGCTGGTGTACCGGTGATGTGGGAGTATGCATGCTGTTGTTTGAGTTGGGAAACACGTGTCTCCTGGAATGTTTATCCCGCAACAAAATGGTGGACTTGCGTGTGTGTCTGGGTAGTAAAATACAAAGAAACAACTAAAACTAATATATATATATATATACAAACAAACGATAATGTACATTATTTGGACTATTGTACTCATCTTTGTTGTCATATTTATCACAACGTTTCGGCCGTTGTGCGCTCAGGCCTTCTTCAGGTGGTTGGAATGTCGAACAGAACCCTTTATTTTGCTCGCTGGGGTAGACTGTTCTAGTTCCATGTGTCATGTCTAGTGGATGTCAGTTATTTCCTGTTAATTCCCCTCTCCAAGTTCTCCACCGACTTAACCGGGTATTGAACTCACACACTTTGGGTCCTGTCACTGGATCTAACTAACGTCTTTATCCACTGTGTCATGTGTCCTTGATAAATAACAAAGAAATAATTTAAAATGTTCGCAAATTCTAAGCAATGGTTCGTAAATATCGTGTTTTTTGGGTTGGACTGTAATGAAGCATTTTCTGCTGAAGTCTTGCATTGATATCAATATATATATATTCTTCATTTCTTCTGCATTTCCTCGGTATTATGTTAACAGAAAGTTTAACGTTAAGTCTGAAATATGAAATTACATGAAGTAGGTTCTGGTGTCAAGTTGAAATATTTGCGCTCCTCACAGACGAGGATGAATGATGTAGGATTTTGATCCGATAATTCGCTTATTCAAATGTTCAAATTGAAGTAACAATAGTATAAGCCAGATATACTTGATAACAAGGTACTTCGCATCTTAAAAAATTAGGCGAAATTGTCTTATAGCAGAAATACTATAATACAAAGTTTTCTACGACAAAAATTCCTGAGGCGAGTTTTCCTACGGCAAAAATGTTTACGGCGAATATGCCTGGAACCGTTTATTTGAGTGAGATCCAGGTTGTTGCAGGTAGATGCAACTGCTGAGACTTTCATGGCAACTAGCAGTTAGAATGAAAAAAAAAAATGCTCATGGATTATTGAATTAGTAGAATCTCAATTTTTAACCAATCAGGAGATTTCCCACTTCTTTTTGGTAACCTAGAAAATCCTCCCGGAATGAATCAAGCGGGCTGAATTTCTAAGTTATTAAAAATAAACGCGGATCCTCTGATTGTCTAGAAATTGTGATTTGTCGAGATTTCAAGTCCGACTGTTTGAGGAAAGGGAATGTAGAAAAAATTTAATTGCAACTATTAGTATTTGAAGTGAAACTCAGTGAAGAAAGAAAGAAAGAAATAATAACGAATTCTTACTTGCCACTGGCGTAATCTGGCGGTGCCAATCTTTTGTGTAAAAAATTGCTACAAAAACACTATATGTAGGCTACAAGTAATTCTTGTAGAAGTAATGTTGGAAAATAAAGAGTTAAGGCTCTTATTAACAGTTTCGGTAACACGTCCAGTCAACTTTGAAAGAGAGCCGACGGTCGCAATGACAGAAGAAAAAAAAATACTGCTACTACATTTGGTTAAGTATTTTTTGCATTTTTATTTCTCTTTCGAACACGTGCAAATTTTGACTCCCCTTCGATCAGATGGCGTCAATTGGAACTCATTTTAATAAATTTTCAGTGAAGACGAAATATAATGAAAAATATTCTTGTCTAGATTACACTTAAATTATCTCATTTTCTTCCCCCCCCCACTGAGTAGTTTCTACAGATTCTATTGATTTGAAACTTTTATTCTATAAAGACTTTGTTTACAATGAATTCTTTTCTCTCTTTAGTACATCTTTTGTTGTGCTCAATACATTTTTGCTTAACTTTGATACTAAAGCAGAACAATACTAAGTAAATAAGTGAATGGATAATGACCTACTGTATTGTGTCGGTTTGGTAGAATGAGATTCATGTCGGTCTAGGTAGATGCAATGGCGGAAGAGATTCATCCCAACTGGCAGTTAGAATAAAAAAAAATCACTAAATTTTTTGTGTGCCCGGATTGAATCACTTCAGCTAACTTTCTAGGTTACCAAAAAGAAGTGGGGAAGATTCTGATTGGTTAGACATTGAGATTATAATTAATTAAATTCAAGATTTATTCTTTCCGGTAGATGTGTGCAGATCCCTATGCGCAGAAACCAACTTTTATATGTGATATCTGTGTTTAAGGTTTTAACATCCTGTTGCTGTAGTTACGTCGCCCGTTCTATGTTATGTATGTAGGTATTGATAATTCACTACATACGAAACTGGACATAGACAGATTGCTATATTAACTAATAAGGACAGGGTAAAGTTAAACCAAGGACCAGGTACAAAAGCAAAAAAACAAAAACAAAACGGTGTGTTAAAAGGAAGATTTTTCTTGACGCTGCCATTACTATATACAACATCGGTAATTTCTTATTTTTTGTTAAAAGCTAATTTTAGAATTTTAATAAAACGCATATGAAACTAAATTAGACATTTTCTCAAGAATTAACAACAAAAATGTTAACAATTATTTATTTATTCAATTGTTTATTTTGTGGGGATTCACTCACATCATAGCACAGAAACTAGTTATCACAGATATAAAAACATACTTGACAGAAAGTAAAACGGACACAAATAACAGGATAAGCATGGTAAAGTGCATGTTAATTTCCTACAATTTATATATTTTTTTGTGTGTATTGGTGTGTGTATTTTTAGTTAGAATTGTTTTATGGTACATGCGATAAAAGAGAGAATTTACTCCGTAGTATTACAAGCCATATCACAGACACGTGTTGCTCGTACCAATGTTTGTGGTGAAGAGATTGAATCGAACATCTTTTGGTGGGATGTCCGTATTTCTGAGAAGAACAGTTTTTGTTGCATGCTGGGAGTATTTCCATTATTTTTAATTTAATTTATTTTATACAGCATTTAAATATTGTTTTATTTTATTTTATTTATAATTTTAATTATTATTATTATTATTTCATATTTTATTCTTATTTATTTATAATAATAATATTCCTACAATTTACAAGATGTGTTAACAATAACAATAGTTTTTACAAAAGTATGGAATTTTATTTGTGAATTATAACAAATGAATTATTTATTTACAAGATTATAAAAATATTCTTACAGTTCACTAAAAGAATAACTTTATATTTACAAAATTAAAAATATGCGAATAAACAATACTGAAATATTTATTATAAAAAATATATGTGAAAATAGATTTTATGTATAAAATTATAAAAAGTGTCTGAAACTGTAGAGGAAAATTTAAACAAACATCCGACGAATAATTGTAATTATAAATTTGAAAAAAAAATTATTTGCCGGACATTTCTTTTATTCACTTTCTCCACAAATATTCGTTAAAACAGGATGAGAGGAAAAAATGTAAAAATTCAGTTTCATATGTTATGGTTTTATTAAAATTGGAAGAATAGCTTTTTAAAACAGCAAACATTACTCGAAGGTGTATATTTAATCGCGTGGTTAAGAAAAAAAGTTCTTTTGACACATCGTTTTTTTTCTGCCCGATTCTAAGTTAAACCTGGCCAAGCATAGTTTGTCAGTAACATTTTCTGACAAGAATTAATCTTGGCCAGTGAGAATTTATTTCTGATTTTCAATGCAGAACCTACCGATAAAGAACCCAAATATGTTCAAACAACTTTCAAGGGGAAAAAATTTAGTGCTTTCAAAAAAAAAAAAAAAATAAAATAAATAAATAATAAAAAAATAAAAAAAAAGAAAGAAAAAAAAGAGAAAAACAATAAATCTATAAGGGGGCTTGGAGGAGGAGAAATTGCGTAGCTGTTATTTTAGGAAATAACCGAAAACGGGGGCTAAACCTTGGTTACATATAACTGGTTTAAATCTATAATAGCATACATACTCATTTTTGCTGATATGAATTAGTGTAAATAGCATACAATATGAATAATTCAAATTGTAGGAAATGATGATGATGATGATGATGATGATGATGATGATGATGATGATGATGATGCGTAAGAAAGCATTCTGGTCTATTTTCCCTGAAATTAGTGTTGAAATAATAATAATAATAATAATAATAATCGGTTACGGAGATAGGACCTGTTAAAATTCTATGGGACTACACAATACACACTGACAGAACAATCAAAGCCAACCGCCCAGACATTGTTATTAAAGACCACAAACAAAAAAGTGGCTCCTTATTGATATGGCAGTCCCTGCTGACTGCAATGTATCTTTGAAGATATTCAAAAAGCTGTCAAAATACAAGGACCTTGAAACAGAAATCTCAGAAATGTGGCATATGGGAACATCAACAATCCCTGTTGTAGTTGGAGCCCTAGGATTGGTTGGAAAAGATTCCAGTAGACTAATCGAAGGGATTCCTGGAAGTCCATGCCTCAAAGAGATACAAAAAATTGTTCTGACAAGTACAGCCCACACTTTACGAAGGGCTTTATCTGTGTAATTTTTTTTTTTGTCAGTGGAAAGTGTCATGATGCCATCTCTAACCTTAGGTCCCTGGGCGGGACCCGGAAAGAAATGAGTAAACGCCAGAAATCAAAGGAAATAATAATAATAATAGTAAATGAGACTGAAGTGTTAATTCTTGCTGCACGAGACCAGAGTACGCTGGTTTGCATGCAACTACCAAGCTTATATCTTGCATAATAGTATGGACACAAAATACAGGTTCTGTGACCAATAAATTGAAACTGTTGATCGCCTTACGTCAGGATTCCCAAAACTCTCACCCAATGAGTCCAAAATCCGTCATGACACGGTAGACCAATAATTGCGTTGGAAGATCTGCCATCACGACGATATAAAAGACAGCTGCAGACTGCTATGAACATCATCCTGAATCTGTAGTTGAGGGAGCATATGTTACCATTCTCTGGGATTATTCAATCCACAATACAAGCAAATTACTCAGGCATTATTATCAAAGACAGAAAAGAAAAGATTTGCCCACATGAGCGTAGAAAGTTAGAAAAAGATCACTGCGAAAGTTTTTAAAAAACTAACCAAATAAAAAGACCCGGAGATGGAAATAGAAAAAAAAATGTAGTACTTAAAAACTAAAACTGTTTCTGTTGTGGTTGGAGCTCTGGGTCTGACAAAGAAAAGAATTCAAGAACAAATCAACTAAATCTCTGGTGCACCATCTCTCCCGGAAATTCCAAAAATAGTTATGAGAAGCTCAGTCTATATTCTTTGGATGGATTTGTCCATTTAACTTTTTTTTTGTTAATAGTTGTCTTTTGTTTAATTAAGCGGAAACAACAAAAATCACATGCTTCGATTGCCCTAAGTAATTTATACGGATTTATTTAAAATAATAATAATAAAGTTGGGTATACCTCCTACGGTTTGACACACTGTCCGTCTTCGTTCCTGATCGGGATTAGGGGGGGGAGCATAATGTCGTTTGTTGAGAGGCTTGTATTTTTCAAGGCGTTCAAATGCAACTGATATAAAAATATAACGATCAATATTATTTTATTTACAATATACCGGTAATGTAACGGTTAGCGATTTATATACGGAAACCGTCGAGCCGAGTTCGAATTCCAGCTGAGTTAGTTATGTTCATTCCTTGTATGAGTCCATCTCTTCACCCCACTACCAGCTATACGTAAAATAGCAGGGCTGACTGGGATTTCTTGCCTTGAAGTGGCATTTATTATAGGAGGAAAATTTTGAATCCAAAATCAGTCTGAAGACGAATGTGCTCACTAAACACACTACTGCTGTTGTGGCTGATGTACATGTGGTATACTAATGATACTAAAGGGTTAGGAGAGACTTGCTGTGACGTTTGTTTTACTTAACCCCAAGAAACAGAATTTTATGTAACTACATCCGTCATGAGAATATATTAATTTTTCAATATATTTAATAAATCTTACCCAGAATGTTATAGATTGCATAATTAGAATTAAATTACTTTACAATAAAAAAGGAAAGACTATATTGAATCCATTATTAGGTCACCTGCTAAGAAAGTTGGTTCACTGTGTCGTGACAGTTTTTATCACCAAAATCTATCTTATATATCTATACGTCCATCATTCGTCCATGCTTAGAATATTGCTGCCACGTATAGTCCGGTGCCCCTGCTATTTGCCTCGAGCTCGTTGATAAAATACAAAGAAGAATCAGTAATGTTAATGGCCCCGATCTGGCGGCTCGGGTTCAGTCACTTTCCCACCCCTGAAAGGATGCCTCTCTGTGTCTTTTCTATAAATACTTTCATGGTAATTGTTCGGATGAGCTCTTCGTTATGTTATGGCTTGTATAGAGTTTTGTTCAGTTTTGTAAATATTCATTGGGGTTTAGATTTTTAAATTATTATTTTATTCCCCTCCCCCACAGGCAATGAATTCTACATATGGGAACTACGTAGGACTTTCATAGAGACTATGAGGTATTATGGTGTGTGTAATAAGAAATGTAAGTAAGAATGCGTTGTTTTGGTGTTAGGAATATTGTGGTATGTTTGGGTCAGTGTTTATGGCTGGGTAAGTTTAATGTTAAGATAAATGAAGACCGTTACCCCATTCCCCTTTTTGGCCTTGTGCCACATTTTGTATTTTAACAAATAAATATCGCTTTTCGCTATGATACCAAGACTTTTTGAATTTAAGCGCAGTACTGGACTAGCACTGAGATCTCATCAATTTAAAGTTGAGCTGGCTAGATGTACACGTAAATTCTATGCTAACAGTTTCTTTTCTTGCACTTCTCGATTGTGGAACGTCCTCATGCTTTCCAGCCAACTTTAATCTGCAAAAATTTAAATGCAATGTCAATCGCTATCTACTGTCCTGATTACTCTTTTCTCTTGCCGCTCATTATTAATATTTCTATTCCTAATTCTTCCTGTAAGCCCTTGTGTCTTAGTGGCTTTACTGCTTTGGATGGGGTGATATCGATTTTAAAAAAACGTTGAAAAAACAAAAATAACACAAGATTTTCATTGAGAAAAATAGAAAAATTTAAATGCAATGTCAATCGCTATCTACTATCCTGATTACTCTTCCCCCTTCCCGATCATTATTAATGTTTCTGTTCCTAATTCTTCCTTTCCCTGTAACCTGTTTTTGGCTTAGTGGTTTTATTGCCTTGATACCGATAAGAAAAATCATCGGAACGCAATAAAAAATATATGCCATTGTAAAATTTTTGTTTAAAAGTTTCGCCGTTTTTTTAATATTTTCTACACGAGAAAACACCGTTGATATAAACAGCTCGTGACGGTTATATGACATCCGTTTTCCAGGATGCTATAAAGAAACTCATAAATTCTATATGTTTATTCTTAGCCCAGAAATATTCGGAAAATGCAACGATAAAAATCAAATGCAAAGAGGAATATTTTCTCTTATCATCTATCGAAACAAAATGCACGAACACACGTGTATGCAAATGTATTATTGCTATGCTAAGTCAACTATCTATCTATCTATCTATCTATCTATCTATCTATCTATCTATCTATCTATCTATCTATCTAATGTTATTTCTTTCATTTTTCTCTCTCTGTCTATCAAATCATGTTTTTATCTATCCATCTATTATCTATCTAATCTTATCTCTCTTGTTTTATCTCTCTCTTTCTCTAATCCACTTTCTTTCAAATCCCGCTTCTATCTATCCATGTATTATCTATCTCATCTTCTTCTTCTTCTTCTTCTTCTTCTTCTTCTTCTTCTTCTTCTTCTTCTATCTAATCTTGTTCTTATCTCCCTATATCTAATCTCTAATACACCCCAACACCCACCATATATATATGCCCACAATCTATATATATCGATTCATTTGAGTTTTGTGATACATTTTAGTTCTCTCTTTTTTCTTTTCTTTATTTCCTTCTATTTTTCTATTTCTTTCTTTCTTTCTTTCTTTCTTTCTTTCTTTCTAATCCAGTTTTTATCTATTTATTACCTATCGAATGTTCTTATCACTCTCGCTCTTTCTACTCGTTCCCGTCTCATTTTCTTTATTATGTATTATTTATAGAAAATAGCACGATAATTCCTTCATCTTCGAACACACACGCACACACACAGGCAAACACAGAGGAGGAGAAGGAGGAGAAGAAAAATGGATGATTGGGAGAAAGGGACTTGTTTTAGTGAAAACGAGAGATTAAAACAATGAATATTGAACATAGACCGACATCCTTCTTGCGAGTTGATATGTAGTGCTCCGTAGTAAAAAGGGACAAACTCTTTTCCTGATTGGATCGGCGGAAATGTCGAAAAAAAAAAAAAAAGAAAGAAAGAAAGAATAACCATCGTCAAGAAATCAATAATGAATTAATATAAACAGCATAAAATATGAATAACTACACCACCTGTAGATGATGATGATGATGATAATGCATAAGAATGAAATTTGACCCATTTCTCCTGAGAATAGGTTTGAAATGATGATGATGATTATGATGATCATGAAGTTTGGTGTGTCCCCTAGGGTCTGACGCGCTGTGCATCTCTCTTCCTGAGCGAGAATAGCGGGTTAGCATCATGAACGGGTGACTAGAGGACTGTATTTTTAGGTTTAAAGGATAAGACAATCGAGGCTACTTGGGGGATATTCAGTAACATTGAATTCAACACCCATTGGCGATTGTCTGTTTCATACTATACGCAGTCGTCAGGCCATGTGCGTTGTGTTTTGCGCAACTTTTTATATGTACAGGTCGGTAATGCATTGTGAGTATTCTATGGCATTGTGGGTAATCTGCTGTTATACTCTAACGGTTGTTTTGATGGGCGTGGTTTGTTAATTTGATTATTATTTACTTATTTACTTATTTATCTGGATTATTTTAATTGTTTTTGTTTATTTATTTTCATTTAGTATTGTTCGTTTTCAGTTTTCGATTTTTAATCAAAATATTAAGAAATTGTTTTCGTGTCTGGATTTTGAGATATGTTCTGATGGTTTAATTGGAAGTTTGGTTTGTTTGGGAAGGGAATTATAGTTATTAAAATAAAAAAGACATAGTTTTTACAGTTGATTGTTGTAGGCTAAGATTGTTATTTCCATGATATTTTCGGTGAGATTTTTTATGTTTTTAATCTCCCAGACATGTTTAGAAAGCATTCTGCTAAAATTTGTGTTTACTATTTTAAAGGATGTTTTTGTTTAGTTTCTTTGTTTCAGGATCCAAATTTTATTTGCTATGTAGATTTTTTCGTTATCTGCATATTATATATATATATATATATATATATATATATATATATATATATATATATATATATATGTGTGTGTGTGTGTGTGAATGTGTGTTAACGTTCTCAGAATATACCTATAGAAAAGATAAAATGAAATAGAATACGCAATAGGAAAATATTTTAGTCATTGCCGATAAAGTTTAGTATATATATATATATATATATATATATATATATATATATATATATATCCTTCTTCCCTGCAGCCGTGCGCCAACGGCTTAGGGGTAAAATCTCCGATGACGGCAATTCATCTTGGTTTTCGCTTTTAGCTAAGCGGACGTCTACCACAGTGATGAACTGTGATACATGAAACAGTCTGTTTGTGGATGCTAATATATATATATATATATATATATATATATATATATATATATATATATATATGTGTGTGTGTGTGTGTGTGTGTGTGAAAGAAAAAGGAGAGAAAAGATAGGTGAGCGAGAAAATGAAAAGAGAGGAAGGGCAAGAGAAAGAACGAGAAAAATTTAAACACATCCACACATACATCAAAGTTTGTTATAATCAAATGATCGATGTATTAAGTTGGAAATTCGAATTTTATTTTATCATTCGCTTTATGACTAATATATTGCTGTGAATCTGTGAACGCTTTCCACCTAAAATATTGCTTGAAAAGCAATTTTAGATTATCCATGTAAGCCATTGGTTCTATTCTCTTCATTTATTCATAACGACCCTTTAACGAGAAATACGAATCAGCTATAGAAGGTTTCAGAGAAACAATTTGCTAAATATTTGCAAGCGCTTTGCTTTGGTTTGGTTTGTTTTACAGCATATCAACCTCAATGGATCATTTAATGCCAACAAAATTTTTATTGCTGGTAATAATTTTCTTTTCAAAAATGTATTTCTGGTAATAATTTTTTACAAAGTATTTCTGGCATTAAAACCTATTTTTACACTTTCATAGTGTTTTGACCCCAGTTTGGCGGTTAACTATTTGTCCATAGCAGAAACCCTAAAAGGTAATAAATTTTCGGGTCTTTGGACCTTAAAACACCAGCAATTCAGAGGTGGTTCCACGCTCCTCAAAACCTCCTGATCAGAGGTTTTGCTGTTGGACGTAGTTTATCGTCTTAGCCAGGACGCGGATGTAGTTTATCGTCATACCCAGGACGGATATTTGCAAGGCATTGGAATCCATATCAACATCAATCATATGCACTGGTGCGATTATTGAAATTAAGCAAAACATTATTTTTTTTTAGACGTTTATGTTTTAAATGGAGACGGTAATTACGAACTTTATTCTCTCATGAATTTAATCATTTCCGGATAAAAATGTTTAATTCGTTGTCAAGATCTTGATTTTTTATTCTTTTATTCAATGTTTGTTCTTTTATATCCAAACAGGGCATCAGATTTGGGATTGGCATATGTTTTCGGTTTATCTGGATTCGAAAATAGCCGGAACAATGGGAGAAAAGGAGAAGAACTAGAGGGGAAAAAGAGAGACATGGACGGACGGAGAGAAAGAGGAGAAGAAAGAGTGAAGAAGGGAGAAAGAGGAGAGAAAGGGAAAGGTAAGGAGAGGGTAGAACGGAAGGGTAAAGAGGAGATGGAGGAAGAGAGTGAAGAAGAGAAAGTGAGAGAAAAGAGTGTGAGAAGGAAAGAAAGAAAGATATAGAGGAGAGAGAAATAGGGAGTGTAGAAAAGAGGGGATTAGAGAGGGGAAGAGAAGTAGTAAAGAGATGAGGACGGAAAGGAATGGAAAGATATATATATATATATATATATATATATATTGAGAGAGGGTGAAAGGGAGAGGGAGAGAGAAGGTGTAGGCCCTGAATGTTGTAGACATTGATTTATTTTATTTTCGCAATCCAACGATCAAGTACGAAGGAAAGACATGGAAATATTAGAGTACCATTCATTATCTATATCTATAATTCTCAAAATGTGTGTGTGTGTGTAATCGGATATTGTTTATGCGTTTCTACAGTTTTCATCCAATTTCGATGAATTTTTTTTGTTTGATAGATAATTCTTCAGTACCGGGTTTGAGTCCAAATTGGCTGGGAAAATTGCAACCTTGAAGGTGAGAAATCGAAAAAACTGATTTTTTACACTTTGCGCAACAATCAAAGGCAAAGTTTAATTTCTGTAAAAAACAAAAAACAAAAAATAAAAATAACAGCGTACAATCAATTTAGAGAGTTGAAATCTTACGCAAAAGATTATTAGAATTATAATAAAAAATTATATTATAAATAAAATTATCATATATTATCATATATTATTATAATGATGGTCCATGGAAGAGGTTTCTTCTTTGCAAGAGTGAGAACGCAAATACGGCCCTTTTTAGGGCCAGCACCATTCAAATTGTTAACCGCCCCCATTTGGATGTGCCTCAGTTGGACCCAAATGTTGTTACTAATATTAATTTTCGGGTGGGCTGACTTTAAACTTAACTGCTCCAATTGAACGGCAAAAATTCCCAGTAATGAAAGACCCGGTCGAAGACGGGTTATACTATAGTATATATATATATATATATATATATATATATATATATATATATATATATATATATATATGTGTGTGTGTGTGTGTGTGTGTAATTTATATATAAAAAATAGGAAAGAACACGTTAGGTAAATAATCCGATGTTCTTTAGCATTTTTGTTTTATTTTTAAAAAAACAGTGCTCAATACAAAAGTATGCGTTTAAATTATAATTATTTTTAAAAATATGATTCTTCATTACATAAGAGTTCTCATGTTTTTAAAAATATTTATAAAATCTTCAATATAATTATTGAAAATTAAATTGAATTAAAGTATCAAGAAATTTCGTCTGAGGATGAAACTGAGGTTGATAATTTTAATTCAATTTAATTTAAATAATTATATTGAATATTTTCAAAACATAAGAACTTTTAAAGCGAAGGAATCATATTTTAAAAAATAATTATAATATATATATATATATATATATATATATATATATATATATATATATATATATATATTATGTTACAATTCTTTTTTACTCGACTTATTTTCTGAAAATATATCCGAAAATCGATAGCAAGGTATTCTTTTAAAATCACATGTGAGTTTTATAAGTATATTTTCCTTAAAATTAAATTACCCTTATTTTTATTTTGTTTTGTCCCTGAATTAGCCCCGTTTCATTATTGAAGTAGTACCAAGCACGGTCAGTACACCCGGTACTGTCAGCAGCCTCTTACAATCTGAAATGTGTCCCAGCTTTAAATATCTCACAAAGGGTTGATAAGCCATAAAAAACACAAATCAATTAACCCTGAATTAAATGAACTGCGAGAATGCTGGTTAAAATACATATTTGTTCAATTTATATATTCTAAGGAATCAATTCGACATATTTTCTACTATAAACCTTATCTTGTGGAAATGCATGTTTAAATAGACACCCTGTTTTTTTAACTAACGTGAATTACATCTACCGGTCTGCGGGTTATGTCTACGAGAGACTTAATAAACATAATGGAGAGCACATTCTCTTTATTAAGTAGACGGAGTTCACACTGGAAAAAAAAACAGGGAATTTACTCAAACGTGTGAATCCATTAATCTATATTTATGACGTATATTCACTAATTCAATAAATGTTCAATGAACTTATCTCATTGGCCCACTCTAGAGTTTTGCGTCAGAATGTTCATTAGAGTCAGAAGTTCGATAAATCTATTGAAATTATTAGATTTCATATCTATTTATAAAAAAGAGCATTCGCGAATCATAAATTTAAATTTTAGT